AAATCTCAGGACTGTGAAGATGATGACAAGGACATGGAGATGGACAAGAAGGACAAGAAACAGAAACTCCTTGAAGCTAATGTCAAGTCAGAAACACCAGATAAAAGAATGAAAGGTGAGTGTATTCCATACAATCTCAATGAACCATGGTGAAAGCCAGTTTTTAAGAGGACCACAAAATTGATGACACCGGTTTGGCAGTGTCAAACCTCTCTCCAATGTTGTCATCATCTCTGCCTGTCAGCAAGATGACCCATCTTCCATCTATCACAGAGGGCGCAGCCTTGATGGCGTTACCATCTCCACCTGTCAGCAAGATGACCCATCTTCTGTCTATCACAGAGGGTGCAGCCTCAATGGTGTTACTGTCTCCACCTGTCAACGACACATCTCATCTTCCATCTATTGCAGAGGGCACAGCCTTGATGGCATTACTGTCTCTGCCTCTTAGCAACATGTCCCATCTCCCTTCTGTTGCAGAGGAAATGACATGCACAAAAGAGAAGGAGATTGTGCCATGCATGCCCCAACTGGAGCCAGAGCCAGTCACTGTCATTCCTACCAAGATATCAGTTAACCCACTGTGAGTATACACATGAATAGGAACCTTTTCTGATGATGTTTCTTAGAGTGTGCTTGGCGATTGCTGCCAACAAGGCTCAGGAGTCCCTACCCAAGCTCCCAAGTGACCTGAATGGCAGCAAGATAGAGAATGAAGGATTGGCAATTCCATTGATGACCACCAAGTCTGCCAAGGGCAATGTGAAGGTGCCCAGGAGGATGTGACCTAGTCCAACCAAGAACGGATGGTATGTTTAAATCATTACTATTTTTTGGTCTGACATATTGGATTATCAGAAACCTCTGCACACTTTGATGGCTCAAGAGAATTCAACTGAACAGAACCATGGAGGACTTCCAGAAATACTACAGTTTGCTTTCTGCTGACAAAGTCAAGGTATCATCTACCTCTTCCAACTTCCCTCACCACTAACAGAGGTCATACTCTAGTCCTATGTTGATGAGGCTGCAAGTTTGGTAAAGTAGCTGTTAGTTGTGATGATTTTGCACTAACAGAGTATAGGTTAAAAGTGGTGGCTGGGACCCAAAGACTATATGCAATGGCACCATCTACTGAGGACAACTCATATTCATCTCACATTCAAGCACTCAAGCTATCACTATATCACTTTGGACTCACACACCACATCACTTGCATTCAGTTCACTTTCATGTCTCTGCACTCACACACCTCTCACACCCACCTGTCTCACTTTCATGTCTCTGCACTTGCATTTGTGTCACAATGATTCCCCTGCATGTGTCTTGCTTTCAAGGCATTTTCATTAATTTATTCTGCATTCATTTACCCATGTTAGACTTGCTCTTGTCATTCCCTGCTCTCCCATAGTCGTCTCCATGGACAGCTGGTAGGGGGTAATGTGTACTAGTTATTGTAGCAATGCAAATGATATTGGTGCATGTATGGCAATATTTCATATAAACTGCAAAGCCAGTAATAACCATATCTAGTGAGATTTGAGTAGATTTCATGAGCATGCAGTGTGCACTGAAGAATATGTTGGAATGTGACAATTTATTTTGGTGGTAAAATTCTAACATATGGTCATGCCAAGTACTGCCCCAACATTTTGCAAATATAAGAATCATCCAGTTTTCTTTCAGAACAACTAATTCCAATGTCTGCTCCAACTCATATTTGGTCATGTCTGGCCACACCCAGACATGTTGAGTTTTCACTGGGCTTGAAGCCTGGTCACCTGAGGGTAAAACTGTACTTGACACAGGGCTGACATGTGGCTGGTCCCTTGCAGTAGTTCCATCTCAGCCTCTGAGTTTGCAACACTCTTCTTTGACCATTGGTATTGCCAGAACAGCCTTCCTTTGGAGGTTGTGTCAGACCATGATAAGCTTTTTGTATCCTGCTTCTAGAGGTCCCTTCACAAACTGACAGGTATTAAACTGAAGATGTCATCATTGTATCATCCACAGACAGATGGGGCTAGCAAATGCACCAACAAGACCATTGATCAATGCATTGGCTTCCACATTGAGCACAATCAGAAAGACTGGGTGAAGGCCCTGCCCTGAGTATGTTTTCACATTGTGGATACCATTAATAACAGTACAGGCTTCTTGCACTTCCAGCTTCATCTTGGCTGTTCCCCCTGGCTCTTGCCTCCCATCTCCACCTTGGGTGCTGATGCTCTGATGGATCACTCTGATGTGACTGCCTTTTTGGCCTGCCTGGAGATGGATGTCCTTGAGGCATGCAACAATCTTCTTGCTGCTAGAGCAGCTCAAGCTCATGCAGCTAATCACCACTGTGTCCCTGACCTGAGGTTCTTGGTCAGGGACAAGGTTTGGTTATCTACTAAACATCATAGACACAAGTACATTACTAATGGTACCAATTGCATAGTGAAGTTTATGCCATGGTATGATGGCCCATATACCATCTTGTTGGCTTCACCTGAAATGTCTACATACATCTTGGATGTGCCCCATGCAGCCAACATGTGCACCACATTCCATGTCAGTCACTTGCAAGCATTCATGCCCAACAACACTGCCCAACAACACTGCACTTTTCCCCTCACACAAACTGCCTCACCCAGGCCCTGTGGTCATGGTGAATGGACAGTTGGAGAACTTGATTGAGTGGATATTAGATGAGAAGTGGGTGGGGAGGATGAAGAAATACTTGGTGCAGTGGTTAGGGTATGGGCCAGAGGATGATGAGTGGCTGATGAAGAAGGATCTGGAGGACTGTGAAGCCTTGGATGTTTGGGAGCAGGAGAACCCACCATAGGGTGGTAGATCAGATGAGGATGAGTGGGCAAGGAAGGAGTTGGTGAGAAGAGGAGGTTGACAACGAATACTGGACTTACACATGAGCCCCCCCCCCCTTTTTGCTCTTTTTTATGGGTTGGGAGGGTGTAAGCATACTGCTTACCACTAACATGCCACACTCATGCTGTCGATGCTGCTACCACTAACACACACCACTCATGATGCTACTGCTAGCACATCATGCTATCATGTCTCCTATCACACATTGTCTGGGCATGCAGTGTGAGTCAAAGTGTGGAAAGCTGGTGAAAACCAAACAAATCCAACACCAAAGACAAATAATGTGGGAGTGGTGGTTTGCCTCTGCAGAACCTGGAGTGCAGAAAAATCTAATATGGGGGGGGGACTTCAAGTGGATGTGCTCCTAGTGCAAGTTGATGATGAGTTACACAGGTGTAGACAAGTGAGTGATGACTGGATGGGGGATGCTGAACAAAGCAAAGGTGTTCAGCTGAAAGTACTCTGGAGTAATGGACTTCAATAAAATGTGCTCCTGGTGCAAGTTGATGACAAGTTATGCAGGAGTGGAGGGATGACTAAGCAAGACTGCTGACTAAGAGTGGAGAAAGCTTCAGATAAAGGATGGAGGCAGATAGGCCCCTTTGTGTAGATCCAAAAATGGCATGACAGATGGATGGTGTTTCCAGATAGGGAAGTATTAATTCCAGAATTGAAGGGCATGAGTCAGGCATCAAAGGGGCTAGGGTGTTGGGGGTCAGTGGGGCAATGGGAGCATAAGTGATCACATCTCCCACCCTTTCATCCTCTCAGCAAAGATAACAAAAGCTTCATGAACAGGGCTCTGATGGAGGAGGAGGAGAAGGGGGGATGTCTTCTGCTGGATCTTGCAGTAAGAAGGCAAGATGCATGTCATACTCATCATGAATGTGATCAGGGAGGCTGGAGAACAGTAGATTATGCTGCAGCTGTCACAATGTGGGAAGAATGACAGACAAGATTGGAATAAAGATGGTGCAGGGTGCAGGGAGGAGCAATCCATATGCTTCATCAACTGGGGAGACCAAAACAACCACATATGACCTTTCTAACTGAGTGACAGACCTGAGGTGACCAAAGAATGTCCTTCTGGAATGTAGGAATATCTGTAGGCTACCTCAGTAGTGAACAAACTACTGATATATTAGATATACCTGTAGGCTACTACAGGATGTCAGCATGGTAGAATACTTGTAATATGAATGGACTTACCCTCAGTAGTGAACAAACTACTGAGGGAATACTAGTAAGAAATACTACAAGTATGTACACTATTTCAGCTTATGTAAGCAGCCAAAACATTGCACAGTGGTCAAGTACCACAGGGGCACTTTATGTTCCAACACACCCCCTTAAATGTCACTGTGGGACTAGGCAGATGTGCAGAAAATAGAAAAGAACTCAAAAAGAAATGTATACCAAATGATATGAGTAAACAAGTATAATTTCTGTTTGAGTCTGGTGTGCATAGTCATGAGTGCACACATTGTGGCTGTGCTGCCGCATCATTCCCGTTTTGGTAATATGAGACTTGTGCATGCATCATGCCTTTGCCACATTGTTGTGTGGTGTGACTGCGAGTGCATACAACATTCATGTGGGTCATTGACAGCACATGTCAATATAGAATGCACCCCCTGCCATAGGTAGGCATTAGCAACATCCAGAAGGGTTCTGAAAGGTTGCAAGGGCATTTGTGAAGTGCTTCAAGATGCCTCAAAGGCACTGTTGGCAGTGTAGTGCATGCTTCAGCTTATGTGAGCCTTTCTGACAATTTGCAGGTGACACTTGATCTTCCTGCATCAATATTGAGTCCTGCAGAGTCAAGGGACTTGGCTGATAAGGCCCAGAGGTGGCTTGGGTGGCACAGGTGAGCTGTTTGGCCATTTTGGCTCTTGTTTTTGAATCTACTGACTTCTCCTGTCAGCTAGCAACCCCTTCTCTGCTCTATATGAGCAGATAGCATGGCTGCTTGTTGTGCCATCCTTTGCACTGCTGTAGTGCTCATCATTGTTTTCCTTTGGCTGAAATTTGGCATTTGGTGAGTCACCTTGTATCTTGGCCATTCAAGTGCTGATTGCTCTTATCTTCAGCTTCATTGATGCTCTCCCACCATCTTGACCATCCTCCTAGTGGGAGGTACCCTCACCATCTTCGCCTACACCCCCAGTCTCATCAATTGAGACTTTCCATGTGTGCTGACCTTCATAGGTCTCTTGTTGCATCACTTGCATGCAATCCTGTTTGGGTTGGGGCCACTTGGCCTCTTGAAGTTCTTCGAGGCATTTTGGCTTGCTAGTGAGCACTGCCTGGTCCAAAATGGTTGTTTGGCCTTTGTGAGGACACAGTAAGGTGATTTCTCCATTGTTGAACATTTGCACTCATGCTAACTTCTCTTCAGTGTTTGTAGTACCAAATACTTGGCCAGGAAGTCAAGTGGATGAATTTGGGCATGCAACATGGGTGTATGGAGGGTCAGGTACATTGGCGATCAGACCACTGCATGTTTGGATGTGTTGATCATTTCTGACAGGCATTTGTAGTGTAGTTTCGATGATGCAACTGTCCTCAAGATTTGTAGAATTAATTGTGAGATTGAAAGTCTCACTACCAGGTTCAAGTAGATGTAGATCCCTTGTCATGTCAATGAGTTGACCATGCATGCCTATAGTGCTGGTCTTGTCTGTATGGCTGTTTGACATTTCCAGGTTTGTGTCTTCAGGTTCATCCATCTGACCACTGCCTGCTTCACATGGCACTACCTCCACCTCCACCTCCAAGTGCCCATTTAGGGCATGTTCAACCTCTGTTGTAGGTACATCAATGCTCAATGCTTTGACTTGTCTGTGCTGACTAGGCATGACTTCTACAGACTTGAGTGACAGCTCCATGCTGTCCTTTTTGTCATCAAGGGTGTGGCTGATATGTCAGGGAGGATATTTTGTGCAGTTTCACTAGTTTTCTCTAGTGCAAGTGAAGGTTTGTGTGAGTCATCACTTTGCATAGTACCTTCAACTGCCCTCCAGCTTGCAGGCCTCAGGATTGAACCATAACAAGATTCAAGGCAAGTGAACATTTTGTGTGTGGACTCTAAATGCATTATGCTGCAGAGGATTGAGTTGGGTGGTCCACATATAATGAGATGGGAGGCAAAGCTGTTGCACTGCTGCCAGGCACTGTTGGCAGCTTGCCAGGCTGTGTCCTGTTCTCATTCCTCATTCGTAAGCAGTGCCCATCCTTGATCATGTCCTTCCAGCTCAATTGCATCAGTAGGTCATGTTTCAGACCCATTTAGGCCCTGTTCAGAATGCCAGTTGAAAAATTTTGAGAAAAAAAAAAAAGATATGGAAAATTTCTCTCATGGTGTCATGTGACATATGTTTATGTGACCATATTGATCTATGTGCTAACCACACAATGCTGTCCTTATGGATACATCAGTAGACCACTTTGTGAGCTGGTAGTCCTAGGGAATCTGTCCAGTGCTGGACAGCTCTGGACAGCTCTGGCCAGCAAAAGTGATTTACTGATGTACCAATGCCAATGCTCAACATGAGGTTGTGTGCTGATGTCATCTTCTGGCCCTACTTTCATCTCTTATTGCCCATGCCTGCTACTACTACCAGCTTTTATTTTTTTCTGCTTCTACAACAATCCCTTATCACACCTCCATCCTCATCAGTAAAGCCTGGGTTTACAAACTGCTAGATGGCCATCTGCAGCACATCAAGAACAACCTCAACATTCAAAAAGAGCAGTTTGAAGCCCTTGTATCCATTCTATGTGACTGCAGTTTTTCTAGAAGCCACTGTGGTATCTCCATTGAAGAACAACTCACTATCTTTCTCTACTTCTGCATCACTGGACTTTCCTCTTGCCATGTTGGTGAAAGGTTTCAACATAAACTGGAAACCATAGCCAAGTGAGTCATATTATTCTTGATCTGAAATAATGGAGCTGTACAGTTTTCAGATACTTCAAACTTGTCCTCATCAAGTTTTCATCTGATCCTTTCTACTCCTCACAAGTCAAATTCCCCAATTCAATGACCCCCCCATCTGAAACTATCACTCACAATCCACACTTTATTTTTTTTCATGACTGCATTGGTGCTGTTGATGGCACACATATCCAGGCATATGTGCCCCTAGAAGAACAGGTGACTTGGTGGAACTGCAAGGGGTATCTATCTCAAAACTGCCTCTTCATATGCAACTTTGACTTGTGCTTTATGTATGCACTCTGTGGCTGGGATGGCTCAGTTGCTGATGCCACTCTCTGGGGTGATGCATATATGAATGACCTGCACATTCCTCTAGGCAAGTATCTGCTGGCTGATGCTGGATTTGGTAGCTGCAATGTGTTGCTCATACTGTACTGGGGCATCCATTACCACTTGAAGGAGTGGCATCAGTCAAGACTGAAGTAAGGGCTTGATATCATTACTTTGCTTTCAGTCACTGATGACTCATCCCCTCCACTCATCTAGACCATCAAATCCTCAAGAACTGTTTAACCTCCACCATGCTGCTCTTTGGAACATAGTCAAATGGATATTTGGAGTTCTGAAATGTCAATGGTGTATACTTCAGCTCATGCCAGAATTCAGTCTTGAAATACAAGCAAGAATTCCAATGGCACTCTGTGCCTTGCATAACTTTGGTGTAACATTCAACCCTGACATATTTCTCCTCAGCAAAGACATTGATTTCCAGGAAGACAACTATGACAGTCTTCTTCCTGAACTTGGAGGTGAGGTGCCAAGTACTGCAGAGAGGCAGCATGCAAAACAGCATCATGAGGAGATTGTTCAGTCAATGTGGGAAGATTATCTGGATGAGCATTGCTGCCATGGAATACCTCCACCTGCACAAACTGATAGTACTATGTAGCATTCATGTATTGTTCATGTATTTTCATCAGTCACATCCAATTGTATCACATTCAAATTGCATCATATTGTCCAAAGAAAATGCAGTAAAAGGTGATGCATGCTACATTGTATACAGACTTTGCAACAAACTACTCAAATGACATTACCCAACTTGTGAACTTGTAACAACTTCCATTGGATTCACCCAATGCACATGTTCCCCTTGAGTTTGTTGAAGATAATAATTTGGTTTGCATTGCCAGGAGTGGCAAGGTAATCAAGTATCTCAAAGTGATGCTGCTGAGGCATATCAAGGGCATTAATAATAAGCATTGCCATCTCCATACTTTCTTCAGTGGCTGTCTTTACTGGCACAGAGGGCATAGGGCTCATAGCAAGGCCACTGAGACTTTGCACCATTTGCTGCAATGCATCTTGGCCTTCCATCTGCATCTTTGCCTGTTCACTGAGCAGGTGAGAGACTGTGTCTGCTTGGACACTGACCCAGCATCAGAGCCTCACTGTCCACCATCTTGTGTTTTCCACGACTAACACTGGTCAGTGCTGAGGAGCTACTGGAGACTGTGGAAGGTGCAAGGAACATGGAGGGGAGCAAGTGTTATGCCCAACTGAAGTCAAGATGTAGGGAGAGCTCAAATGCAGTCTATGGGTTTCTACTGAGCAACAGCTGCAGTAACCTCTGTAAACAACAGAGGATTTGGGCAATGCTGGTAAGAGTGGTCCAGGTTAGGGACACTGAGGGTGAAGTTCTGAGGGAATGCTGCATATGATTGAGCAGCTCAAGTCTGGGTTTCCAGGACTTGAGCCAACAGACTAAATACTGTACAAAGGATGGACCATGAGGCATCCACATGTATCAAGGTAACTATGCCATTGGTTGAACAATGACAACACATGTTCTAAGCATGTAATGAGCACATAACACTAGTAGCAGAAATAGAGAGCTGTCAGATCAATGAGAAGATGGCTCGAAAAGGAAAAGTGGTCCATCAGATCAAAACGAGACAAACATGAACAAGGAAAAGGAAAAATAGGGGTGAAACATAACATTACCCCCCTTCTAAGTGTTGAAGTCTCCAACTTCAACTACTCTCTGTAAGGTTCTCCAGTCATATTGCTGATGGCAGAGTCATCGAAGTCAAAGTTATTATCATACAAATCATCATCCTCACTCCTGATGAGGGTACAATCATCTACCACACCCAGGATGGTAATTCTTTCTTGTAATGCATGATGAGGGTGCAGAGACAGACACTGGGCTTGAGTATGCCCAGGACAAGTTGTGTGACAAAGGGGGCACTCATAGAGTCCACAGTTGACATGGATATGTCTGAGATGATGACAGACATAGCATGCTGGATGGTATCAGGGATCAGAAGGGGTGAGAGGATGATCAGCCTCAGCCATCACATTTAAGATAGGGGATGGGGGTAGTTGTGCAAGGGTTTCAACAACATTCAAAGTGTAATCAAGTTCAGCTCTGGAGATGCCAAAGGCAGTCTTGGGGTTGACTTCAGACAGGGAATCATGAGATTCACAAGGTTGTGGGTTAGCACCCAATAGACAACAGGCATGAGGCTGATCAGCTCTTCTGAGAGAGTGAGATGAACAGGAGGAGTGGGAGGACAATGGTGATGACACTGGAGGAGAGGATGACACAGAGGAAACAGGAGGAGAGGTTGCAGTCAAAGGTCTCCTAGACCCAGGAGGAGGGGGAGCAATCAATGTTGGATACTGACAGACATTGTAAATGAGGTTGGCTCCACCAAGGATATCGAAGAGCTGGAGGAGCAGAGGGACATGCTCATAAGCGATTTCATTGAGAATGGTATGGGCAGGGGATGGAAGGGGGTTCTGTCGATTAACATATCTAGACAACTCCTCAAGCCAGAGGGCTTGGATGGTGGCATGATAGACAAGGTCGAGAGGAGAGTTTTCATCAACCTTGTGATAGATGGTGCCAATGATGGTGGGATCAGCAATGAAAAGTTGGTAAGAAGCGATCATTTGGTTGCTAGCAGGTTGTTGCTGATGGTGAGCAAAGGGGGTGTAGTGATGAGAAGGTTCACAAGGGTAGGTATAACAATGAGGAGGCATTTCAATGGAAACTCTTTTGATGGTGTGAGTGGGTCATCGAGTGGACTGCTTCAGAGGGGGGAAATCTTTAGGAAAGCATCTCTTATAGGCAGAGAGTGTATCATCTGCATGTTCAAGGTGTGTTTCTTTTTGCCACAAGTTTTCAGATGAAAGATAACCCTTCCATTTGATTAAAAAGGCACGTCCACAGCTGGACCTTTTATGGCCAACTATCACCTCAACTTCATATTCTTCTTCTTCATTAACCAGATCAGGTGGTGGGGTTGGGAAGTTCGGTCTGTGAATGTTGTTTTCATGATAGGGTGATAAGAGAGAAGCATGGAAGACATTATGTATCTTCCATTGTGCAGGGATCACAAGGTGATAGGTAACCAGGGACAGGACCTTGGAGATAGCAAAGGGTCCTTCTCATTTTGGGATGAACTTTCTGTTTTCATAGGAACATTTTAAATTCCATGCTTTGAGCCAAATTTTATCTCCTTTTTGGAACAGTGAGAAGGGTCATGATGAGCAGTCTTTCATCATTTTCCTGGCTAGATCATGGGCCACTAGGGCTTCTTCTCTGGTTTTTTGGAGTTCTTCAAGTCTGGACTTGGCAGCAGGAAGACAGGTTTCCATGATAAGAGATGGAAGGGGTTTCAGTTCATATCTGTACATGAGGTAGAATGGGGATTGATGGGTGATGGAGTGAGGACAGTGGTTATGTGTGAATTCCACCATGGGAAGGTTATCTACCCATGAGGTTGGATCATTCTGACAGAAGATCTGGAGATAAGTCTCAACCTCCTGGTTAACATGTTCAGTTTCTCCATCTGTTTGAGGGTGATATGCTGTTGACAGGGCAAGGGAGTACCCAAGAAGGGAGGCAAGTTCTTTTGCAAAGGCAGAGGCAAACTGGGG